GCGCAACACTCCGGAGGTTTCCATGAGGCTTTCAGTTTACCACAGGTAAGCGGTCAGGGAAGTGTAACCCACTCTTACTCGGGACTGCTTTCCGGCAAGAATTTCTTCATAAACCAGCCCATGTGGCCCCCCACGCCATATGCACGCAACTTCATGAGAATACCGTGATGCCAGGTGGTGTCGAATGCCCCGTCTATGTCAAATTAGACAGCTAAAACATGTTAACGGCGCTTAAATGACTCTCGAATCGCTGCATTTAGCATAACCAGGTGTTCCAGGATGCTTATGTTTTACCTTAAACCACACTGAGAGTTAATACGCGCCTGGGTGACCGGTTGCACACCCTACGCTCGGCTGGGGTCAACTTGACCCCCTAAGATCTCAGGAACGAAGTGGGATAGAGATCCCAAATGCACAGGGTTTGTTGGCTTGTGCGCGAACTCACTTAGGTCAAAGTTTGAGGTTCCTATGTCATGACAATTGGGCCGCATAAGATCAAACAAGCTCAAACCCCAAGATGGTCTCCATTGTCCCCAGAACCTAGATACCTGTTCTAAGGAAAAGTTCGTGTGCTCATCTAAGGTCAGCGACCTTGTTTGACCTTTCTAAGGTAATGGTGACCAAAATAACAGAAGACTGCTTTGGGTTTTGCATTGAAATAAGCGACAAAGGTTACGCCAGGCAGTATGCTCCTGAAAAAGAAACCTTGACCTGGGTTGATTTAGGTTAGTGAACCATTACGACCTTTAAGAACTCCATGGAAGCTGTCTAATGCGGTTCCCGTTATCAACCAATTCGAAATGAGTACCAGGAACCCCTCCATGCAGCAAACCCGAAAGTAGCAAAACAGGTTGGTTTTGACCTTGGTCTGACCTTCATACCTGACCCTAAGTCAATTTAATTCCGTAAGTCAGTTGTTGCGTTGCCTGAAAAGGTATTTCAGAGATGTGTGGCTTAGTCTAACACTCCGATGTTCCATCAGATTGAAGATTTCTGTAGAAACTGACTTTGCTGAATCCATTGCCTGACTTTGACCTCCCGTAGGTCAGCGACAGTACAGGATACATCTAATTTGTTGATACCACACGATGCGCTATTCATATTTCTACAGCTGGGGCAAATTTAGCGAGGTTATACTGTGTCGTTCAGAAACCATGTACGAGAAACCTCGGACGGGCCAATCTGACCCCCACTTGAGCGCGTGTCAAAGGGCACGTTGCTTGTCTCTACAAAATACATAAGGCACGTGCTGATATTTTTGATACAGCTTGCAAACGTAAGGCCTCGTTGAGATGGGGCGGTAATGCGAAGCGTTCGTGCCATCTTTGCCAGCCTTTATAATAGGTATCATTGTTGGTTTCCTTCGCTGCTTTGGAAACATGTCGGATTTCCAAATGAAGCTGAAAACCGTTAGCTGGACCCATAGCTTCTGAGGGCTGAGGTTTGTGGCATCTCATTTGCGATAGTGTCCCGTCATGGTGGCACATTCCGTGCGTAACGCAACGCTGCCTTTAACTCTTCCATGAAAAATTGTCGCATTATATGAGTCCCCATTCTGGAACCAAGATCCACAAGGCGTTTCTCGCATTGCACCTTGCGCCGCAAAAGCCTTGGATAGGATGACCCTAGATCATGACGCTGTGACAGAATCCGTCCCAGCTCTACTGTGTTGGTGATAGCGGTGCCCCTCGTCTTTATTCTTGGGGCAGGAGTGGACGAGCACTTTCCAGGAATTCTCTGAATGGGTCTCCATTGCCACCTGTCACGTGGTCTCACCATGAGCAGCGCTTGGGCTTGCGCACTACCCTTTTCGCCTGTGCTCTGGTAATGGCACAAAGTGCTCCGTATTAGACGACTGTTCAAAATGTTTAAATGCCCTCTTCATTTTAAAGGTGACTTTTCTGAATGGCTCCCACCACGAGGGGACTGTCAGTCGCCGTGGCTCGCGGGACGTCAAGGGAACACATTCCCTGGCCGCCGTAACAACAGCTGTGTTGACACGCTGCATCAGAGAGGTGGTTGACACTCCGACTGAGGGACGCATTTCAATGGAGCACTCAGCTGTGAATGCCGCCCAGTCACCTAGTCGGAGGCTCCATCGTGGTGGTCGCTGGGTGAACAGCACCACGGTTTATCCAGACGGGGAAGTGATTGCTTCCAAGCGGACAGCTGTCAACATGCCACGAAGGCTGGCTATAAAGTGCTGGCGAGCAGACCAAAAGATTGATAGCTGAAACATTATCCGAAGACAGTGAAATGAGGGCATGGTGTCCGGCTCACACGTCCAAAGAGTCATTCAAGCCTTCTGTCCGGGACACACGTCCAAGGAGTCGTTCAAGCCCTCTTCCTCTGCTGTTTGTACCGTCACAATCCTACGTCGAGTTATGCGAGTTAAAATCGCCCAGGACCAAAAGCACACTGATGGAAGCTGATTGAGCACAGCCTCCAGTGGCGGGCCATGGGAGTCGTCCGTTGGCGATAGACGTAAGGATCAGACTCTCGGCTCCATAACGTCCAACTCTATAGTTACAGCCATAGCTCGCAATCTGTGCGAAGTATGAGCTTAGGACAGGGCACATTGGTGCACACTAAAATGGCTACGCCGCCATGGGCGATAGAGTGCGATTTTACATCGTTCTTGTGCATGCGATATTTTTTGATGACTTGGTCTGCGTTAGGAGAACGCTTCATTTCCTGCACGCACGCTATCACTAGGTTGTGAATGAACAAAAACCGTTGTAGGTCAGTGATATTGGCTCTACGCTCGCGAACGTTTCATTGTAAAATTGAGCACGACATGGTGGCTGTTAGCCGACAAATAAGAAAGCGTCAGTGATTTGATAATATGACTTGGCTCAGGTTCTGGACACAAACGGGTCCCACAGCATCAGCTGACCCAGAGTGAGGACTGGGCCGGACCTTCCGGCTCCCACCGTCCGTGGGAGATACAGGCCACGGCGGGACCCGTTTCGCAGAACGGCCCTGAGCGGAAGACGATGCGTTGTTCGGCGCACTCACACCAGTAACTGCGGCGGCGGGGTCGCGGGCGGACCCATCACACCCGTCGAGGGAGGCGCGGTCGCCGGTGTCGGTGTTGCTGGAGGTGGTGGGGAGCGCTGGCCCGAATGTGTCGTACGAGCTGCGCGTCTTCGCGTTCACATGTCCAGTGTATCAGGCCAGCCTGCCAGGTAGTAGGGGGATGACGACCAGCAGGAAGCCTCTCCCCAGCACGAGCGGGGCTTGCGCACCCCATGGAGATGGTTGTCGTCGACATCCGACCTTCAGCCTAGTGCGCCTCAGAGAGCTCTGCTTGCCGGGGGGGGGGGGGGGGGGGCAGGACAGTGTTGGTTCCGGTCCCGCTGTTGCCGGGTCGTCCTTCAGGGGCGGTTGCTCCCGCTTGAGAAAGCGGGGCCGCCGAGGAAGCCCACGTGCCCCGGACACGCCGAACCAGGATCCGTCCGTGGTGCTTTCTTTCCCCAGAGGGGAGCAGGGTAACACACACAGGTGAGACAACCTGTGGGGAGCCCCCATAGCCACCGGAGCGGACGCAGCGCTACTGCGCGCGGCCGCACCAGCGACCGCGGCTGCGGGAGAGCCCGCCACGTTTGCTACAGGGGTGGAGGAGGTGGTGGCCGCCTGGGGTACGAGTACTGAGGTGATCATCTTGATAAAATCACCCATCGAAGTAATGACTTAGTTTTCAGCAAGAAATAACTGGCAGTTTTGCTCCCGTCTGGGAGTCGGAAGTGCCGGTTACTCTGCCTGCCTGTATATTGTGCTGGCTGTAGGTGGCTGTATCGTGATCCTTACCACATTTGGAGTACTTGGGATACTCCGTAACGCATTCTTAAGACTGGTGCCACAGGGACGCGCACCTAGTGCACCGAGAGTCTCTTCGACACTTGTCTGCAACATGGCCAAAGTTCTGATGACGAGACCAGCGGACTGGGTCTGTTATGTATACCATGACTGAGTCTGTTATGTATACCATGACTGAGTCTGTTATGCATACCATGACTGGGTCTGTTATGTATACCATGACTGAGTCTGTTATGTATACCATGACTGAGCCTAAATTGTACCCTACTTGAGCGTTTGGCTTTTGGCGGAGCTTTTGGTTTCCCAACCTCCTGGAAGGTCATTGGAACACACAGTCCCGCATCACGGAGAGGGGTAACTCATGAGGGAAGTATTTATGATGATGATGATGAGGAGGAATGATGATGATGAAATGATGAAACTGATGATGATGATGAATGCTAAGCCAAAATAGCATGATGAAAAGCGGTCACTAATAGCATTGGTATAATCTTAAGTGGAAGAATTGCTCCAGAGAAAACAGAATTATCTATTTAACAAACATGTTTATTATAACGTCTTTGTTGAATTGCGTCCTGGATCGATTCTAAGACAGCACCCATTTGTAGCTCTTCAATCTCTCGAGAGGTAGTCTGCGACGGCGCTGAATGGGTGCCGCACCAGACATCGCTCGGTGCTGGTGTTTTGGTCTTTTCTCGTTGCGTTCTTTCACATTTATCCGTGAGTTTAAGGTATGTTGGTTCATATACACACTCGATTCTAGCTTAATTCTTAAGCCTTTTGATTACAAATCATATTTCTGAATGTAGAAAGAATGCATAACTTTTTGAACTTCGTAGCACAAAACGTAATTCGTGTTAGAATCTTGCAAAGCTTGCACAACAATGGTTGAGAACCAACTGACAGCCGTTATATCTAGAAATCGTACCCATGAAGACAGGTAAGAACGACTCGACAGTTACATTTGTCTTGACCTTGAACGCTAAATGGTAAGTGGAATGGCAGGATGTAAATGAGGCTATTATGGTGTTATGGATGACTGGGTAACCTTGAAATGGTCTGCTCCAAATAGAGCGCACAACTTCACAAGCGTGTAGCTCAGAAACTAGAGGGTTTCAGGTCTTGAGAGAGATAGGACAATAAACGGCTCCAAATGCTGTTCAAAATGTATATTTTGGTTCAAAGCCCCATGCAAACGTGAAACACTTCCTTTAACACCCGCCCGGGTGGCCGGTTGGATGCCCTTTGCTCGGGTGGGGGTCAATTTGATTCTCCTGAGATCTCAGAAACGAAGGGGCCAGATATAAGAAATCCATAGGGTGCGTTGGTCTGTACGTGAGCTCACTTAGGTCAAAGTTTTACGTTCCTAGACCATGACCTTCGGGTCAAATAAAGTAAAAAACGTCAAAGCCCAAGTTGGTCTCCAAAGTATTCCCAGAACCTAGACACCTGTTCTAAGAAAAAGGTCATGTGCTCATTCAAGGTCAGTGGCTGTTTTACCTTTGTAAGGTCATAGTGATCAAAATACTAGAAAACTGTTTTGAGTTTTGCATTTGAATAAACGACAGACTACGCTAGGCAGTGTATTTCTAAAAACGAAATGTTGACCCGGGTCCTCTTAAGTCAGTGAACTATTCTGACTAATAAGAAGCTCATAGAAGATGTATAATGCAGTTCCTGTTACCAATAAATTCAAAATGAGCTCCAGAAACTTCCCCACGCAGCGAGCCCTAGAGTAATACAGCATGCTGGTTTTGACCTAGGTCTGACCTTCATATCTTGCCCTAGGTCAATGGACTTCGGTCACTCAATTGTTGTGTTGCCGAAGAACGTATCTCAGGGATTAGTTGCCTCGTTTAACACTCCGTTAATTAATTTGATTGAATGGTTTCCTAGAAATTGACTTCGCTAAATCCTTGTCCTGACTTTGACCTGCCGTAGGTCATCGACCTTACAAGGCACGTCCGAATCTTTGACACCAAGCGATTCGATATCCACTTATCTACAGCTATGCAAAATGTAATGCGGCTACGCCGCGCCGCTCAGAAACCACTCTGGAAAAACCCTCGGGGGGGGGGGGGTGGCAATGTGACCTCCACCCGAGCGCGTGCTCAAGTTGATAATAAGAATGATAGCAATGTATATTGACCATTTCAGGGAGTTTTCCAAAGTTCAATCGTTTCATGCAGACCTGCCACAATGCGTTCTCACAAACAGCTGCCACACTTTGCGAAATTGAAAGGGGAAAATGTGATTATGCGAATTTAACTATTTCATATTTCCACTTGTATGGAATATTGCATATATGGCTTGAATATCCACTTGTGTCACTTGCAACAAACGATTTTTTCCAGGGCTGGATAATGTGATGTCTGCAAGTATGTAAAGATAATGCTTTACCACAATAGCCATTGATCCACCGAAATAGTTGCTTCTTTGCCTCACATTGCGCCTGCTAACAAGTCCTTTCTTGTCGGTCACTGACATTAAAGTTCCTTTCCATCCCAATAAGCTCTCAGCAGTCACGAAAACAGGTGACCGCAAACTTCCATGACAACGTCTTAGCAACAAAACCATAGAGCACGTGCCACAACACATAAAAACCGGCTGTATCTGACACAACCTGCACTGATCTTCTCCCCATCGGTTTGTTATATATCTGCTTCAGCTAAGATAGTAGATATTGGGTATCAGCGAACAGAAGCAAAAACAGACTCCTCTGGATGAACGTAATCAACTGGCATTTTTCTAGTAACCGTTTTGGAAACAACTGGTCTACAAGTAATAGTATCAATGGAAGACTATAACTGCCAGAACTCATCAGCATACGTGGGCATGATGACCCGCCACGGAAATGGGCTAACCATGGCTTTCGTTAGCTCAGAGGCTGTGTAGGTTCGTAAACATTGGATGGAAATCCAACTACCAGCTTACCCACCCAAAATGCTGGCACCACTATGGTTGCGCCAGCGTCTGATTTCTGACCTATATCTAATTCATCTCGTCTTCAATACGGCCGTGGGTCCGGACTAAATATAAGTTCGATATCAACAAGAAGGGCCCATTTGATAAGAATCTGCAGGTGAAACACAGCATGGGCAGATCATACCGAGCTATTTATATTTTTCAGAGGTTAGGTGTCTCCGCCACTTCTGACTTTGCTGTATACAGGTACTCACTATTAAGTTATGGGCAATGATCTTCAACTTAACTTATAATTGTATTGGCTGTAATGAAGGTAGGGGAGTATACTGCAGGCATGCTGTTTGACTTGCCTGCAGTGTGTGAGTCATGTGGTGTGAAAGCAGAACACATTTTCATCAGAATGCGTGACGGTATGAACTATTTATAGCATATGTGTATGTGAAACTAACCTCAGGCACTGGATGCAACCTGCTTAAGCCATCAAGTGAGCTTGAGGGTCGAACAAAATGTAGCTTATGGATGTTAACATATCTCTACATTCACCTTAATCGATAAATAGGAACGCAATATCATGAAAGACATTTCAACAACTTATGGGATGAAACAGAACAATCAAATCAAGCCCACCCATTTCCCTCTCGATTACGGCTTCGGTATTTTGTGACGACTTCCCTGAGTTACAAACATTTTTGTTTATTTCCGAATCGCAGCCAACACTTTGATACATCAAACACCGTATTTTGTGACGACTTCCCTGAGTTACAAACATTTTTGTTTATTTCCGAATCGCAGCCAACACTTTGATACATCAAACACCGAAGCAGTAGTGCAATCTGTATTCCAGTTACCTGTTTGATCTTCAGGTTTACCTGCAGCCCCCCGGCAAACACGCATGTTTGCTCCGCCCGTAAAGGCGCCTTCACTCATAAAGCACGTGAAACTCCGCATGCATCCCAGTGACGTTATGGGGTACTCCGGCCGTTATGAAAAGCAGGGCCATTCAGTTGAGCCCCCCGCCAGCGCGCTGACATTCCTTCAGCACGTGATGGCGTAGAGCCGAGGCGTCTTTCATACAGGCGTTATGAACCCTCATATCATGTGTCATTGGGTCTTTACGACGCACTCAGCTGCTGGGGCTATATGACGTTGCCTGCCTCTCTGACCCTGGCAAATGGGGCGGGCTCTGCGCTGCGCACGGCCTCACAATTATACTCTCGGTACTCCGATACTTCCTCTCTACCTCTCAACTAAAAAGATCGCGTTAAGCACCATGCTAGGCCCAAGTCGTTGTTTCCATTCCGTATGCGAAAGCACAAAATCATGCGACGAAAGCGCAACTTGAATCCAAAGCGCGAATTGGGCACGCAGTCTGTGAAGCGATAGCTCAAAACGTGAGCACGACTGATATCTAGAAGGGTCCAATCATCCATTTCTTGGTGCAATAGCAAACATACTTGTCTACCTTTACCATCTAACATGCTCCACAAATTACCAGGATGTCTATAAAGAAAACCACTTGACCCGGAAGCCAAAATAAACAGCAAATCGTTGGGGTGCTTCTCCACACACTGGTATTGTTTTAAATAAGACATGGAGGTTGAAATGCTACCCCGAACGTATTATTAACGAACGCCTTGTGACCATTCCCGAAAAAAACAAGGGAAGACAGCAGAGACCAACACATTTCAGTCTTGAAAAGCGATAAGACGACTTCCCCCAATTTAATGGCAAATGAATGACCAGTTTTATTTTCGGAAACAATAAGAGTTGTTCGTATTGTTCAAGACAGTTTGGCAAACACCAGCACTATTGCTGCTTTCATTGACACCTATGCTTGAATAACGCTAACGTTTCATTCTAGAGGTCACCAAGCTGACACATGTAAGGCAAAGTAGTGTAGATGAGTAATCTTGCCGGATATTGCTCAAAGTAGAAGAGCCTGAACTCCTCCGCCGCGGGGGACCGCGGGGCGAGAGGGGGAGAGAGGCAGGTGTACCCTAAGTAAAACTTGGGAACTCTGTGGTGCAAGCCATGTCAGGTCAGTTACCTAGATAGGTCTCAGCTACGCTAAGTCGGGTAGAAGCCTTTTTGGGTGCTGCGTTTTCTAGAGATGCGCTTTATTGTGGCTGCATCTTCTTTATCATATATTTTTACGCAACGTTGTCAATATTTTTCCCTATGTGCGGTATGAGTTCTTCATAGGTCATTGACCAAAGTTGACCTTCGCTTTCAGTTTTATGTAATATGTCCTATGATTGTGTGATGTGCCTATAGTTGCCATTGGAAACATTTATTGCGTCGTTTTTGTTTTACCTTCGAGTGACAAAGCTCATCCAACGTCCTAGACAACATGCGCACTTTTAGCATAATTTGCATGTTTTATTTCAAGGGTAGACCTGAAAACGTCGCTCCCCAAACAACATGCAGCATTTTGCCACGAAAGGATAGCGAAGGTCATTAAACCAGTTTTGCCCTAAAATGGAGCCAGATCGACAGCTGGTAGGCCGAGGTCAAACAACAACATTATGTAATTATGCGTCGATCACAGCATTGTTGTCTATCGAATCTCCCAGTCTTGGAAATAATGAAACGACAAAGATGATTTATGGGTCACCTGTATATAAGTCATCATACATTATGGATGATCCAATTACCCCGTGATCATGGCCCAGAATTGTGAAATAGCATGAGCTGAGGTGGTTCAAAGGTGTATAAGCTATCTAAAGACGTTGTGTCTGTCTAGTTACCTTTATTCTGTCAATGTGTATAGCAGAGTGTATATATTTGCGCCTCAAACCGGCGTCAGTGAGAGGGCTTATAAATGGTTACTGTCAATACACGCTGTCAAACCTCTCCTTTTCCATTCTGAGAAAAGGCCCACTATTCCATTCCAAGCCTCTAATTATTCCATTCCATTCTATCTCCTATATATTCTGAGATGCCGTAAGAGGCCTTGCGCGTTGGTGGTTGAAGGCTCAGAGCAAACCTTAGAGTTACCAATGGCTCCCATGTTATGGATTATCATTTTTGTAATTTTGCATATTCATCTCACTAGTTCAATATGTATAACTATCATCATGTTTCACGAAAACAGAGCCCAACGAAATCAAACGCCTTTGGGGAGTTAGTCACTTGGGCATTATGACCCATTTGAAGGTCCACCTTTAACAAAAGATCGGTATGTACAGGCTCACTGAATGACGGTCTTGCATTCCTTCGCAAAGTGCACTGCCTGAAAATCTTGCAAACATTATCTCGGAACGTCGAAGCCATAGTGGTAAGTCTCACGACATTTTCGGGCTGACTTTACGTTATTTACGTTTACTTATTCCTTGGCAGTGTAAGCTACTAGGCTGCAGCCTGAAGTACTACTAAACCGCTGGCATGCGGAAGATCTATGTGAGACTTAAGAGGCCAAAATATGAATCGTTCTTTAGGAATGATTACAAAATTAAATGTTCCAGACATTCGATAACGCATCGACAGTTTGTGCCGACCATGGCGTGTACGCATAAGTATTACTCCTGGAATATTTCAAACAGCCGAAACCGTGTGTCGAAAGGACGGATTGATCAGACGATCATACTCGTCTTGTCGATTCGAACGGTTGATTCTTTGGTCGTTGTCAGGTGCTGCGTTTTCAGGTGCTGCGTCCTGGAGAAGGACTAGATGTTGGTGTTGCACGAGTCACAGCACGAACTATCTCCTTGGCATTGCCAACAACCATTTGTGATGCTGGTGCATCGTCTCAACCCTTGGTAAAACTATAATCGCTATTTGCCAACCATTTGTGATGCTGGTACATCGTCTCAACCCTTGGTAAGACTATAGTCGCTATTTGCCAAAACGGATTCTTAAACTGTGCACGTTCCTTGCCACAATGAACACTAGCACTATCCGCCAGAGTGCCGTGATGTGCCAAAATGTGCCGTGTTGCTGAGCCCCTGGCTGAGAATTCCTGAGCTGTGAAGTATGGTACACACAGTAGGTACAAACTTCTGTCAACACGGTGTTGGAAATGACATGCCATCGCAGCAGAGAACACAAAGACATGAATCAATACAATACGATTAAGATGTAACGTCTGCTAAGGCACGCAAGTGATAAAAGAACGAAGACTGTGTGTAATGTTTCACAACTTTCAAGGATCGTGATGACAAGACCAATTTATAACCACATTTTATAGTACGGATACTGTTCATACCTGATTTCTACCTATTGCAATATACGTGAGTGTTAAAAAGGCATCAGTTTTCGACTATTGAAACTCCGTTCTTAATTTCCGTTGGAATCTCGCCAGCACATTGAAATTAATAGTAAAATCGACTGCCTACTTAATGAGCGATTAACACGATTATGTGTTCGAAACTGATTCATCTGTGGATGAAAATAATCAGCTTACTAACGTATGGAGAAGGTCAAACTGTCTTCAGGATAGATGCAATACAATCATCCCAGCTGATTGGTTGTGTGACGAAATTTTTCTCATAATAAACATCATGCTCCCGTAGAAAATACCTCTCAAATGATACCAGCATTTTATCCCCACAACAATCATCACCGAAGATGACCTGAATGTTGTTTCCAAGTGTTTGATGGTCATATATCTGGTTCGAGTCTTGTTTGGCATGTTTGTGTTCGTATGGCATCTATTGGTCTCTGATAGGCTCTAGTTTGGCACGAACGTTTCTACATCGCTCTTTCAGGGCACATTAACTGAAGGTAAATTGCAACATCCGGAAATGTTTTTACTTACCTGATAATTCAGCACACTGTAGGTCCAAAAGCCGGAAGCCGAAGACAGCAAGCCACGTGAAACTCGGTCACTGCCACAGAGGCGACGCGGTCGCAACGTTCAGCACATCCACACCGGTCACGCAGACTGGCACGTTCACTGCCTCCGCGTGGGCGGGGCCCGCTCTGGTCCTCGTGTCGGCAGATCACGCACGCGCCGCACCCGCCGCCGATGCATGGCCTGCCAGGCCGCGGCCGTCGCGGCCGCCGCGAGCCTCCGCACCTTCCACCGCACTGCCCGGGCCCCGTCGGCGCCGGCGTCGCGGCCCGACGCCTCCGCCGGCGCCCGGCGCACCTGCTGGCAGTCACGCGCCAGCCGAGGCCGACGGGGCGACGGCCGGCGGCGGCGGCGCGAGCCCTGTTTATCGGTAAACACAGACACACATGCCCGCCGAGGGTACACAGGAGGCGGCGAGAGACGCGCTGGCGGCGGAGGAGCGCGACACGGCGCGCCGGGGACGGCCGGCCCGGTCGATAGCGCCGCGTGACACCAGGTCGGGGCCAGGCACCGATTCACGGCCGCCGTCGGCAGCTGGTGAGCGGAGGGGCCCCGGTCGCCGCCGCCGTTCCCGGT